TCTGTGTTCTCAGTCTATTGCTGCCGTTAATAACAGCCTTACACAATGGCACTTTCCTTTTTTAGGTAACTTTGAGAAAAATATTGTTTTAAATAATTTATTGTTTGAATACTTAAAAAATACTTCAGATATTTATGATTATTTCCTTTTAAACTACTCTGATCACACAGAAGAAAAAAGAAAATGTCTAAGACCTGCACCTATGGCTGCACCTACCACAGCCATAGGAGCCACCAGTGCTAAGGGTTAAAACTACCTCAGAAATCATGTATGTCTGCTTTTTGCACTTATTTATTGTGATGTATCTGGAAGAAAGTACTTTTTATTTTTTTAATATTTTTCTTTTTGTTTTCTCATAGCATACCAGAAAGTAAAGTTGGTTGTTACTACTGTCGTTTCCAGCAAGAAAGTCTTCTGGAAATGGCAACATTGGAATCAGACATCAACACTCCAGAATATGTGGTTTGTTTCTTAGGTGGCTCAGAGAAAGGTCTGGAACTATATCCTTACCTTTAACTTTCTTTACCTGTATGGAGAGGGAGATGATGTAAAAATTCATGTCATTTTGTCTGTTCTTACTTGAAAACAGCTCGTTTGTGCATACCTTCCAGTAACAGAAAATGTCAGTAACAGCCATATACTGAAAGGAAAAAATACAGGTCTTAAGTGATGTATCTTATTTTCCTTAAGAAGATACTTTCAGGCTTGAGCTGGACAAGTACATTCAAAATCTGAAGATAAACTTTGATTTGGAGGTAAAGCCTAACTTTTTTATTAAGTGATGAAAATTAGTATTTATATAGATTAATAGCTAAAACGATACGGAAGATCTAGTCTATAGAGACAAAATAGGGGTTTCAGGTACCAGTATGAAACACTGGGAGAGATACTTGACTCACTGTAGTACAATGAATGTCTAAAGTGCTATCAGCCACACATGTCAAAAGGAAAAAAAGAAAGGGGGGGAACTTTTTTGTGTCAGTCATAAATCTCTTAAAGGTTACAGTTAAATTTGGAGAGAAGAATAATCAATAAAAGGTGATGGTCTACAAGGAACTTCTCAATATCCGCCTTGATTTTTACCAGTTCTGAATGTTAAGAAAAGACATTTGTGGGTTTCTTGTCACATTTTTCTAATGGAAGTTCTGCATTTTTAAGTCTTATTTGTCATCCCATCTGCTGTTGCATGGTCTTCACTTAATATATACTATAATATTACAGTTCTGGCTGTTTCTTAAAATTCAAAGCCTTTCATTGCTGATAAAATGAGGCTTTAAATGTCAAACTCATTATTTAGTTCACTGTAGTTTGAGATTAAGAAGGTTGCAACATCCAATTATCTTAGGTTGAGTAGATTATTAATAGGCTTCTATTGGTGTAGAAAACTGATTTGTAGTTAAAGTTTAAATGTTTCAATGTGTTACAGCAAAAAAATTTGGAGTCCTGTGTTAGCCCCTACCTGAGGAGCTGGTTTGAGGATGCCATCTGCCCTATCCAGAGGGTTGTGCAGCTCTTCCAGGACAAACTTGCCTCTCTACTACATGCTGTAAGTGTATTTAAAACTGGGTAGCTAAAAAACCTCCAGAAGCTATCTCAGTGACTCCAGCATGGTTAAAATGTTTCTTGCATTTGCCTTCCCAGCAGAAAGAAATGAAAACTCTTTTGTTGTTGTTGTTTTGTTTTGTTTTTAATTCAGACCAAGTACTTTTCCCTTACTTATTGCTAAAGAGGCATGTAACAATTTCTTCTATCACTTTAAAAAAAAATTACCTAATGGTACCCACACTGAAATTAGAGTAAGAAAATCAGCAATAGCACGAGCAGGCTGTACATGCTATAATCCTGTTAATGAAAAGGGGTGTTATACTGTGTATGTGCCTTGTGTAATTCACTGGAAACAGAAAAGAGACTAATCCTAAATCTAGTCTCTGAGTTTGAGGAGGCTCTGGTTGGAATAGCTAACAGAGTATAACTGCTGAATTTCTTCTGAGTGTAGAACCAGCTGCAATGACAATAATACAGAGTATTGCCTTGGCAAGAGCAGTCTTTAAAGTACCACATTATGTATTTATTGCTCAGAACTGCAATATAGCAACAAAAGTAATACTGAAGTTGCATCCAGCTTTTTCCTTTTTTTTTTTGTTTCTTTTTTTGTTGAAGGCTCTGAGTTACACTCCTGTAGAAGTCAAAAATGCAGATGAAAGAACAGAAAAGGACATCAGCAGGTAAAGATACTTTGAGCCCAAGGAACTTCTGAGTAACTTGGCTGTGTCTGACAGTCACCTTGGTGTCCAGGTGTTGGACACTTAGGAGTTGTAAAGGAGCAAGCAGTTGACAAGAATTTTCTGTGTCAGGTTCCTGGCAGCTGCCAGCCTCCAAGGACTTGTCCAGGAAGGCACAATGACCTCCCTGTGCATTGCCATGACAGAGGAACAGCACAAGTCCATGGTTATAGACTGCAGTGGACCTCAGCCCCAGCTGCATAATGCAGGTGAGGCTACAGCTGGGAACACTTCATGTTGCTGCCTTGGATCCATCAGCTGCTGAGAGCTGTGACATGAGAGGCAGTTGAGGATATTCAGAAGCTTATGGGCTCCTGCCCAGAAAGTTTAGGTTCCATTTTCCTGTGAGGTACCACAGTTGTTTGTTACACCAGACACACTAGAACTCTGGGTTAAAAATGCTTGGAAATAAAATCCACAGTTTCATTTAGTTTATGGACCATGAAAGTATGAGTTGTACAATTCAGGGAATCTGCAAAACTTTTTTTTCCTGTTGTGGTTTTGACAAATGTTGGGAAAAGGGATTCAACAATCAGAACACACTTGTGTAATCACTGTAGCTGTATTTGCTTTTCTTTTCCATGTGTATTGTTTTTTCTTAAGACTCATTTCCTGGCCCAGGTATCACTTGTTATGTGAGAGTGATTAAACCAGGTGAATGCAGCTGTGTATTTATGTTGAGCTCATTTGCTTTTTCTCATCTCATCTCTGTGTTCCTCTATGTCCCTGAACATTTAACAGGAAGCAACAGATTCTGTGAGGACTGGATGCAAGCTTTTGTGAATGGTGCTGAGGGTGGAAATCCGTTTCTCTTCCGGCAGATTTTGGAAAACTTTAAATTGAAGGTACCTGTTCATATATGTTAAAGACTTGAAAAAGATATTTGGGTTACTGAGGGAGCAAATACTATATGCAAAATACTATTTTGCAGTGAATTAAAGTTTTAGGTTACTACATGTCTATAGGTCATTAACTGATTTACTCTGAAGCTTAATTTGAGGGCTGGCTTACTGTAGTTGACAAGAACAGCTGTAAAGTAATATTAAAGTTTCTTCAGTGAATGCTTCAAAGGTGCTTTCTCAAATTTAAAGTAAGACCCATATTCTTTGTTGCTGTTGTTTTCTTCAAATACTGTTAATCTGAGCCTTGCACACACAGTTTCATGCTACTGGGTTGAGTAGCTAACACTTTTTAACTGAGCTGCCATAATAGAATTCTTGCTACATGTTGGACTCATCACATTGTGTCCACACATTTTGCATCATTGCTGTAGAAGCTATAATATTCATCCAAGACAATATTCAATTCTTGTATTACTCTTAAGTAGTACTACAAAATTTCTACTGGAAATGCTTTTGTTTCTCCTGCTATTTATCCTTTATTTTCCATGATAGTGTGTTTTCATTCCATGTAGGAGGATAAGGAAATGCTCTGTTACTCTTTTCCCAGGCTATTCAGGACATTAACAACCTGAAGAGGTTCATCCGCCAAGCTGAAATGAACCACTATGCTTTGTTCAAGTGCTACCTGTTCCTAAGGAACTGTGGCAGTGGAGACATCCTGCTGAAGATTGTGAAAGTAGAACATGCAGAAATGCCAGAAGCCAGGAACGTAGTGACTGTCCTGGAAGAATTCATGAGAGAAACATCAGTGGCTTAAAATATCTTATGTATAAATAATTAATTTCTGTGCAGCTATTGCAGGAATTTTAATTTATATTTAAAAGTATTGCCTAAGTCAAATCTTAGTTGCAGTTTCACCTGCCTTTCCTTATTTTTAGACAAAGCATTATGCATTATGATCTTTTTTAATGTGTAAATATCAGATAATACAAACTCCTGCAGAGTTTTCAAATTCTCCAACTGACTTGCTCCTGTTCTGAGAAAATCATGATATTTGATTTTTACAATCATTGCAAGACCAAACCCAAATCCCTTACCTAGCAAACATTTCACTGTTTTAAATATTTTAAATATCTTAAAAATCACCTAGATCTGACTACTGTGTTTTAATAAAGAAGTACAAACAGCTGGACAGATCTAGATAATGAATTGATCATTTTAGTTTAGATTAGAGAACCTAGGTACCAAGTCTGTAGCTGGTGTCTGCTTTCAAACTGCTGGTTTGTTGTGCTGCCACTGGATAAACAAGTTGGTAATTGGTATGAAACAATTGCCTTAAGACTGAACGGTTGCAGTGATCAGTTTGTATGTGTGCAAACCTACACATAACAGGTATCTGAAATTCCCAGGTTTTTTGATGAATCCCCTCCTTCCTTAGTCTGAGATGTAATCAAGACCTTCTTATATTACAGTTTTGCATAACTAAATAATCTTATGTTTTTCAATCATGAAGAAACTAAAAAGCTTCCACATTTAATATTAAGACATTTTCAGAATATAAAGTAAATGAACTTCCCAAATTAATTACTCAGACTTTAAAACATTTCACTGTATCAGCAATGGATTCTTACCCACATCATGGGACACATAGGCAGCAGAATACCTGAAGAAAATCTTTGGCTACAGCTGGAATAAAAACTCATCAAGTCTCTCTTTTATGAGGTTATAAGTTCATAACCTCATAAAGAGAGTGATTTCTGCAAACCTGATACAAGCAGAATTCCCTGTTGGTTCCCTTTGCAGCAGAGGGTGTTTTAACTTCCCCTGAAACAGTGCCTGTAATTAACACAGCTCAGTGTGACTTGTGCTGGTGGTCTGTACTGTGAGGGCAGGAATTGCACCAGGTTGAACCCATAATAAAGTTGTCAATAAAACATTGAAATCCTCAATAGTGCGTCTATAAATTGTCAATGAGTGTGATCCTTGATGTCTCCTGTTCAAAACACTTTATCCCTCAATGCAGAGGACCTGCAAGTGTGCCATTGACAGCCAAGGTTACATATGATGTAGTTGGGCAGGGCAGAGAAGAAAAGTAGTGATGAAGAAAACAAACCCCTCATTCAGTCATTTGTAGGAGCTCTGAGAAGTAACGAGTGTTTTCCTTCATCAGTGAGTACAGCAGCATCACTCAATAAAACATTGCTCCCCTGCATTTCTAACAAAGTTGGAGCTGATTGTTCAGTTTTTTGGCAGATGAGGACACGAGAAAGAGCTCAGTGCTTAGAAAATAAGTTAGATGTGAAGAACAGGTAGCATGAAAATCTATGGTACTAGCAGGCTGTAACACCTTTTGTATGAGTTGACAAAAACTGACAAAACCCACCTTACCTTTGTGCTGAAAGTCCTCAGCTAATGGAGAGATTTGAGTGTCTCGGGAAGTTTAGTTCAGTGCAGAGAACTGACAGCAAGAGCCGAGTCCCACACACGGTAGCAGGGATCTGCCTGTCTTAGGAGTAGCACATCTGACAGGAACTGCTCCTACATCTGTCTCTTCATTCCTATAAATTACACTTTAAACCAGTGTTTCCCAACAAAAACACAACTTCTTTTTCAAAATAAGCCTCCCTCTTCCACACTGGTAGAAGGATTTTTATTTTAATCAGCTGGGGGTTTACTGCAGAGCTTTTTGGATATGTTGTTTCCACTATTGATTCAAGAGATGAGTGTTGGCTCTCAGATTTGAAAACATTCAGTAGAGACTGATGTTAAAAGAGCACAACCGTCTTCCCTAGTAAAAAAATGTACTTAGATGTAAAAAAATGCAAAAAAAAAAAAAAAATCACTCAAATGTCAACTTCCCTGCAGTTCTGAGGTCACTGCAATGAAGGGACAGCTGCCAAAAGGTGGGATAACACCTGAATTTCCATACAAGTCCCAAGCCAGTTCTGCATCCTCATTAGATCTTGTGGAGAAACGAAGCTGCAGTTCACTCTCCCCTTTATCTGTTAGACAGACATAAAAATGAGTTACCAATGTCATTGTTAGAAGAATACATGGCAAAGCTCCAAACCAACGGATCTTTTGTTAAATACCATGTTAACTGTAGACAAACTTACAAAACTGTCCTTGAAAGTTCTTTCTTGGTTGTTTTTTTTGTATGTGATATAGAACAACTCAATTTTATTTAAAAAAATAAATACAAAAGATAAATGAAACAGAAAACAAACAAACAAAAAAACACCAAAAAAATTTAATGGATTTTGCGCTCAAATAATATTGTCACAACAAAAATATACAGAATGTACACAATACAAAAATATTTGAAAACATACAATAGCATCTTACCTTGCAAATATCATTTTGTTTTACTAGCCCTTCACAGGGAAAGTACCATTTGTTCAGTATTTTAAGGCAGAAAATTACGTAGTTTAGTGCTTTGTGTTTAACACTTGGATGTGGTGTTAGCATTAGCAGTGTAAGCAAAAGAAAAGCTGCATAAATCTGGCTTTATTTGCAAACTGAACAGACACTGTGGGAGTCAGGAGAGAGTTAGTGACAATGTATGTATCAAGCTCGCTGAAAATAAGGTACTTTAGCTACTTAAATCATAGGAAATATTTTGTGCTCTATGTTGTAAAATACCCTGAAACATTTTTTCTGTACTCCTACTGTCATATTAGAAAGCTTTTTCCAATTAAAAGCCAATGATTAATGGTGACATTAAAATGCATTTGCCTTTAAATAAGCTTGGTTTCTGTTTTAGGCGTGATTCTTTTTTACAGAGCTGCAAAATGCACTGCACTCCTTTATAACCAGCTCATGACATCAGTGATTAGAGAAGAAATCTTTGAGTTCTACCACACAAAGCACTGCAGAGCAGCCACCACTGTAAGGGGGGCAGAAGAGCACCAACATTCAGAGGTTCTGGCCTGGGCTCTCTAGTCCCAGCTTGCCCCCAGAGGTGGCTGGTGCTGAACTGCCACGTCCCCATTCTCCAATTCCACTTTGGGCAAAGAGTGGGTGAGTGTTCCAAAGCAATTGGGCTGAGCTTGAATCTTTGTGAACAGGCTTTGAGCTCTTTACTCACTGAAGGATGTGTGAAAGTCCTACCCACCATCCTGTGAGACTAAATATTGGCAGAGAACAGCAGCTGCCTTGTGAGGTCAGCAGTCAGCTATCATGCCAGTACCAGCTCTGAACACATCAGATTTCATCCTCCACGGCCCAGTTCAAACTGAAAGGGCCCAATCTGATCTAAAACACATGGGCAGTATAATCCAACAGAAGCAGCAAGGTGTTGGGATACAGAATCCCTGAGATTTATTTCTAGTAACAATTTCTCTAGCTTCCCCCCTCCCTGTTGATAACATACTTCCCACTGCCAAAGGAGCAAATAGTGAAGAAGCACAATATACCACGTAAGTGCTAAGACTCCTCATCAACTGATAGGGAAACAGTGACACACAATGTTGTCTTAAAACTCAGCGAAAGTAAATTCATCAGCACTTTTATGACTGCTACACCTCACTCAGAGATTGTTTCTGGAAACCTCCTCTCCTACAAATGCATGACAACTCTCTCCCTCCTCCTATCTGTGCTACTACCGCTGTGTGTTAAACTAATCTTTACCTGTCTCCAAGCATCTAGGAATAAAAGGTGCCGTTTGCAGACCCCGTGGACTTCGATCTGCCTGGTTCTCCTCCCCAGGGCTGTCGCAGCCCCTTGTCCCGCCTGTGGCCGGTGCTGCTGCCCGCGGCCGGCAGGTGTCCCTGGCAGCTCCGCATCCAGCGCCGGCTGCTCCGCCTGCCGCACTGCTCCTCCTCATCCTCATGGACCTCTGCTGCAATGAACTCACTGCAAGGGAAATCCACCACACAAACGGCTGGTTGTTTTTTTTTTTCTTTTCTCCCCCAGGTGTTGTGTCCTCACTCAAGGACACAGTGTAAAATAACTTGCTCCGCTGTGCTCTGTTCAAACCTGTACATTGGTGACAGTCTTTGCCTTCTGCTCTAACATTGCACAGTCATAAAGTTCAATAGATTCATGTTTTATCTGACTGATGGAAAATCCTAGCAGTAGCTAAAATAAAACCACAACAAATCACTGAAACCAGTCCCCCAGTGGATGCTCCTTCAGGAACACACTGCTGACTGTGACAGGTTGGAACCATGAAGGAGCAGGATGGAGAATATTCCACCTCCAATGTGAGCCAGCAGCTTCAAGGACATCTGGAGGTAACACAAAAGCCTGGTTGCTGTTAGCTCTGTGGTGCTGCAGCACTGTGGCACTCCTGGGTGTGTTAGAAGATAACATAACTGGAATTCATGATACTCTGTAGAAACATAGCAAGTTTTCACACTGTAATTTTAATGATTAAAAAAATAATTAAAAAGCTTTAGCACTTTGTGCTGCTTCTGGCTCCACGAGCTGATTGATTCTTAGCAGACAACAGGCTCTGTGCATAAAATGCTCCATATATGGGGGGAAGATTTCAGCTCTGATGAGCAGGAATGTGAAAGGTTTCATTCCTTCACCTACAATAAATTTAACACTGCCTTAAAATCTGCCTTTCTGATCCCCAGGGTTGTTTGTAGACTTGTTCAGGCAGGGTATGGGGACACAGAATGAAGTCAGAAAGATGAACAACTGTTTAAAAGAACAAGTCAGAAGATCAACTTCAGAGCTGTTTTCAACCAGTTCATGTAAACTACACTCATCTATGGAAGAAAGACCAAGGAAGGCCGTCTGCATTACTTGGTTCAGCTCCCTCCCACTCCTGAACTGAGTAAAGACATTTTGGCCATGATCAAGCTGATCAAGAAACTGGTGGCTCTTGAACTTTTATCTTGTTTCACCTCAGAGCACACACTGGCAGGCACAGAAAACTTTACTGGTAAGAAACTCATGGGCAGTAAGTAGCTTCCAGGTGAGAAAACAAAAATTAAAGTCAATTGGAGCACATTGCACTCTGGTAAATTATAGGCAAAATAATCTGGGGTTTTTTGTGATTGAAATTTTCTATCAAAATTTTAAAAGCTTTCCTAAGATTTCAGAACTCCCATTCTTGGTCACCTCTGTTTTGAAGGCATCTGTAATGAGAAAGGCTTAGCAATAGGTGAGGGAAGGAATGTCCTCCTGACTTGTTAACCATGTCAGAACTCTCCTAGCTCCCACTTTCCTTCCTGCCTGCTCCCAGGGGGATCCAGGGCTACAACTTTCACTGGGCCAGCACCTGCAATGGTCTGTGGGAACTCTTGTGACTGCTGGGATGTGGACCCAAACTTCAGAGGTAAATATGCTCAGGGAACCAATCCCTTCTCCAAAATGATCAGAGCTCTGCCTTTATCCCTTCCTCTTGGTCCTCAATGAGGGCCCATGAGCAATGTACTGGCCATGCAGAACAAAAGTGCAATCGCCCTCAGAAATCTTATTTCTGTGCACGAAGGTGGCGAAAATTGTTTCTTTTGCAGGTAAGGCTTATTCCAGGCTGCAGAAACACTTAATTTCTCTCTGCTCCTTCTGAGGCAACAGAAGCTTTATGGGTGCATCTGGTGGGAGAAAACTTCATCCCTCAACCCAGAGTGCTTTTTCCATAAGAGGCAAAGAAGGGGGCAGCTGATAAGCACTTGTGGATGTCCCCTCTAGAAAGTCAGACTCCTACTAGTGGTATCATCTGGCAGCATGGATAGCACAGCTGAGAGAACAAAGCCCACAACACAGAGACATTTTCTACAGAGCAAACACAACTGCTATGGTGCCTGTGGGATGTGCAGTGAAAGACTCTGGTGGCTGTGCCTGGGCACCAGCAGGAAATAGAAAAAAGGGAGAGAGTAGCTTGTCTGGAGAGATTCTTATGGCTGTTTTGTCCATCCCATTGAATAGCTGGGTAAAGGGCAGAGGAAAGGAGGGTACCTACATTCCTGGACTGTAATTTGGCAGCTCTCTAAAGTGACAAGCAAAATAAGCACCTTACAGAGAAGAGTACTTATAAGCTCTGCTTGTGCTACCGATGTCTCCGTGTGGTCCCCAGGTCTGGGCAGGGAACTCTATGAACTGTGTCACAGCCAATTCACAGATTGCCTGAACTGGGCTTGACCAATGCTGAAGAAAAAGGCATCATTGCAACTAATTGTTGTTTGGAGCTCCTGAACATCCACTGCCTCAGTAAGAGGCATTCTCAAAATTTAGAAGTCATATTAAAACCAATTTTATCACAATGATCACTGTAGCAAAGAACATCCTCTCCACTTCATTGGGAAACCACTGCTACATACAAACTGATTTAACTCCACTGCCTTCAGTGGACTTAGCCCCAAAAGGACTGTATGGCTGTAAAGATTGGATAGTTCCCATCCTGGGCTGCTGGAGGTGATCATGGTCCCACTTTCCTAGTAAGAACCTGCTGGAAGAGTTGAGATTCTTGCTAGGAGCTCACTGCAGGCCAGGTGATAGGTCAGTGTGGCCAGAAAAAAAGTAAGAAGAAAACAGCACCTGATTGTCATCTGATAAAACCACAAATGAACATTTGCCCTCCTTTTCTTCAACCCTCAAAAAAAACCCCCAAAAAAACAAAAAAACAAACAACCTAGCCATGCCCTCTAGCCACAGTAGGCTGGGGAGGAGGGGAATAATTACTTAAAATCAAGTGAAACATGCACAATAGAAGTCACTTCTGGCTGGGTGTTCACTACACTCTAAGATTCCCAATGTTTATAGTGCAATTTCATTTGACCTGTAGTTGAAGTCTCCATCACTTTGTGTGATCAAGTTTTGCCAATTTCTTTGAAAGTTGTGCAAGACAAGTTTCAGCATAGGCTGAAATACCTTAGGAACCATTCAAGTAATTAGACAGTGGCACTGGTATGGCTGAACAGTCAGATGTGTCCAAAGAAACCAGACTCAAGCTGCCTTGTGAGTATCATTTGAGTCTCTAATTAATACATATCTGCTCTTTTTCCCTTTTAGTGTTCAGTAACATTGAGGAAATTCACTGAACAATTTGCCATAATTCCAGCACTGACCTGGAAAATACAAATATCTCATAGAAAATATTGATGTGTGGTAACAACCCAAGCAGTCAGTGCCCAGGTGCTGGGCAGAAACTGCAGGGCATGGCCAGCCAGAGTTAAAGAACCTGCTAGATTTGTGAACAAACTGATCAGCCCACTTTTTCATGAGATCTTTAAGCACCTCCTCCAGCACACTCATGTGTTCAGAAGAATCATCCTCCCCTAAGTTAAATACAAAAATAGATACTCCATCTTCATTCATTTAACACAGCTGACAGATGACTTCTGCTCTCCAGTTTTCTGTCCCATGTTTTCAAGGAGGGGGAGGTAGCTTCAGATCCAACAGACTGTAGGCAAAAATATTCCAGAAGATGGCAAACAAGACAAAAATGACGTAAATAGAAAGGAAGATCCACCATAAAGTCTGATCTTGGAGTCTCTGCTCATAGTTCCTCAGGATGATGACACCAAGGGTGATTCCAACCATCACCCCTCCCAGGTGAGCCATGAAGCTGGGGTGGGGACATGGGGGGTAAGCGGAGGGGTGGAATCGCAGCCAAACAGCTCTTCCAAATTCAAAGCTCACTGGAACAAAGAACAAAAACTAAATTAATTGTCTAGGTTTATCCTTTCTTAAGTCCATGTTGTGGGCGGCACTGCATCCCCGAGGAGACACAGAGGAAGAAATTGCCTTGTATGGTGAGCACAGGGAAGCTGTGGTTATGTTAGGGCTGTGGCACACAGACATGAGGTCTCTCCAGTGGCTGGAAAGTGGTTTGGGTTTGTGGTGAGAGTGTAGATAGGTTGGGAAATATTCACCTCCTGAAATTTATACCAAAACCATAACAAAAATGAGTTAGAATTTGAAGACAGCTGTCTGTGATGAACACAGAGTTTAGTTTCCCTTATTGCGCCCCTCTGGGGATAGGGCTGGAAGAGAATTCATCAGTGTGGGTATAATGCTGCTGCCATCCCAGACAGGATGTGCTCTAGGAAACCCAAGTATTATCATTATGGAAGCATTGCATGTTTGAGATGGCAAAGAGAAGATGTTTAAGTCCTACTCCTTCACAAACACCACAAGCTACAGATGCTGGCTAATGACAAATCCTTGTTTACAAATGCTTCTGTTGAAAGCCAAAATCTGCAATGGAGAGCAATCTGGTTCCTGCTGCCAGAAGGTCCAGCTGCAAGTTCCTATCAAAACTGCTGCAAAGTCAAAACCCTCTGAATCAGCATGTACTATTATGACAAGGACAAACAAAACAGGACTGGCTGCACGTGTGCCAAGCATTGTGTGGTACTTACTACAGATCAAGGCAACGGCCATGCGCAGCAGTTTGAATTGGCACTTCATTCCTGACCAGTTCTGGAAAAGAGACAAGGAAAACAAAGTAATGCTGCACACAAACCTAAAGGGATATTACATTTAGATCCTGCCACTTGCCTGACAACTTCTCAGTGCATTCAAGCCCTACTGTGCTTTTTCAATGCTACTTTCTGTGCCTCAGGCTCCCTGAAATTCTGAAGCTCAGATCTTTGGCAGAGCATAGAGAAAAAATAAAGACTTCAATAAAAGCATATCTAGGAAACAGTGCCATAAGAAAGCCTGGACTTTCTGTCTTCAGGCTTGGTTATTAACCAGTATAGTGGAATAAAAATATCTGAGCGATAATAAAAAATCATAGGAGAAATATTAGAATTCCTCATTTTCCACTTGCATAATTTTAAGGCAGGAAAAGAGATCATGTTTTGAGAAACTCAGATGTATGACAACATTGTTATTATTTATTATTTATTATTATTATTTAGTATTATTATTATGAGATTAAATGAAAATTTGCCTATTGAAGGCAGACTGAGATACCAAGATCATCAGGTTTCATGTGAAAAGCTCCCTATTTGTCACACTGAAGAAATAAAAAGAATGCTTGTAAACTCTTCAGACTATCTCTAATGGCACTTGGGATGGCACAAATGCAACCTCCACAAAATAAGTAACTGATTTTCTCTCTCCACAGAGAGACCTAACCAGTCAGAAAGTTCTGAGCTTGTAATACTGTGCTGCCTCTTCCACTTTTCACTTCCATGTAGCTGCTTTGAATCCCTCCCCTCACTCTTTTCCTTGGGGTGACACGCTTTATTGCTTCCCCTGTTGGTTATTTTATGTATTTAATTCCAATAATATTTATTTTTCCAAGTAGGAATGTTTCCATTTCCTTTGGTTACCAGGAGGCACCAGGGAACAGAAGATTCCAGAGACTCTCCCTACCACAGTCTCTGCTCTCCCCAGCTGTGCCAGACTGAGCTTTGCCAGCAAACAGCCAGCACATCTTTCAGTGTGGGAGCATCGCATCCAGATAACAAGTGAGCACAGAGAGACAAAGGGGGGAAAGGAAAACAAAAAAAACCCTCCACCAGAACTGGAAAGGCAGCAAAAATAATTTCAGATGAGAAGAGAGGCAGTGGATAATGGAGAAATAAGGATGCTAAGATAGCAATCTCTAAATAGATTTGGCAGAGGCCAATGAGTAGTGAAATGACAGATCACTTTGTGATGTTCTAAGTCTGGGAAAGTAACTGCTGAAGACTCTCCACATTCCTCTGGAAGAGCCTCTCCCTCTAAAGCAAACCAAAATTTCCTCCAATGTCCCCCTCTATCCCAGTGAATTGTGGTGTTAAAGAACCCTGTGTCTGCATTACCACCCTGAAAGACAGAGGAAGTTGTCTCCTGCTTTCCTTGGCACAGTGGCAGGGAACACAAATCACACTGAAAATAACTGCATATAGGGATGTCATTCCCCAGCAGAAACCCTGTGCTGCAGGGGTAGCCCCTCTCCTCCACTCCTGACCTCTCTGCCAGACACTCAGCTGTCTAATGTGGACAACAACCTCAGCTCATTCATGCTCTGAAAAGCTTGAAGAAGGTGAATGAGATCAATTCTGCTCAGGATATCTCTCACTTCCCAGCTGTTACAAAGCTGCCTGGAGCATCACTGTGGGTCACAGCTGAAGCCTGCTGACTTTATTGCAGACAAGCATCAAATACAAGGTTTTCTTTTAGGCTTGACTACAAAACCACCACACACACACATCTTCCAGCATCCATATAAAGATCTTCTGTCTCTACTGCAGCCACCTCACATTATCTTCCCACTCAGACCCAGGGGAGAAGCATTGTCCTCATTTTTATGGTTCTTCTGCTCTGATATTGCTGGTACAGGACAGACATGCCACACATGAATCTTCTATCAGCAAAGCCTTTTTTGCCTGGTGTCAGCTGAGGAGTCCCCCGGGCAACTGTGCTGGGCTTTGCCACTACCTAGCTGAGGGCTGGGGATGAGCTCCTGTTTCCAACCTTAGAAGAATGACAGTGCTGGCATTCACTCACCTTTGTAAAGTATTTCATGAGGGGAAACAGCAAAAAGATGCATCACTAGATCACCCAGAATTCAGTCTGGGTTTTACAAATGGAGATAAGGAATATGCTGTACATAAATGCACGGAATGCTAAATTTCCTTAGATACCCACTACAATTACATAGCACATGCAGACAGAAACAGGTCTGCCACCTCTGCAGAGCCAGTCTGCTTTTCAGACATTTGTCAGCCATTGCATGGAGAGCTGATCACCTGGAGAACACTGATAAATCTTGGACTACCAACATCTTTAGATTGTCCTGGCAAACTGACAACCATCAGGGTACCAAGCTACCAAGTGCAGGGTAACATTTCCATTCCAGGAACACACCACTGAGACAAGACTGGTGCAAGCAATGAATAACAAATAGCTGGGTCAGGCCTTACTTCCAGCATCTTTGGGCCACCAGACGTGGCTCACTCTGAGGTCAGATGGTCACTCTGGTACTCACCATCACAATATTGGCCAGGTGAGCGGAGACAAGAGCATACACACCTCCAGAGGAGCCCACCACCGGTGCCCTCATGTCAGCCACTGACACTGCCAGGGACCCTGGGGGAAACAACAAGGCTTTGTGACAATTGCTCACCAAATAAACATACTCTCTCCTACCCTACATCCCTGCTATGGCCTGTTGGTGCTAATTGCTGCAAGCCAAGAATTCAGAAAGAGAAGGAAGGGGAAATTGATTGACTTGTGAAGGCAAGTCGGTCCTGTCAAAACAGCAACTGATTGATTCCTCTGCACCTACTTTAAAAGCAGCCAAGCAAGGCAGCAAAGTGTCTTTAAACTTGTGCTGCAAAAAGGCATTTATTCCCTGATTGAAAGAACAAGGATACAGGAGACAGACAAATGTCTGTGTTTGTTTCCCACCTGAAGATAAAATAGAAGTAGCTCCCATGTTGGCAAGAAAAATATTAGCACAGGGAGAAGGAACAAGGGACTTGTAACTTAGCACAGGCCTCTGATCAAAGCACAGCCTATTACCTGTAAAACTTCAAAGTAAAACTAGTCAAAAATAACCTGGATGGAACAAGTAGGCACATGACAGCAAAATGACAGGTCAAGTACATAAAGGCACCACTAATAATACAGCCAAACATAGACATTGCTTCTTCTATCCCAGCTGGAGGCTTGGATCAGCTCAAAGCTCCTTTCATTGCCGGCTTTAAGAAAAATTTAAGCAATAGAGGGAAAGGCAGATTTGCTGTCACAGGGAAGGGATAATGAAGATCTTTGTGATGAGTGGGGATGGGAAAGAGACATATTATAAAGTCTTGAGAGAGTCTTTGGTAGTACAGAATCTAATGAACTTCTTTACTAATTGCCCAACTGATTCCAGGTCAAGAAAGTGCTGAGCTTCCACCATCCAACTCTGCTGATAGCTCCCTCCTTCCTTGTATGGCCCTGAGACTTCTCAGCTCTTAAACACTGCCATCAAGGAAAAAGTTAATGAGAAATAAAGGAAGTAATAAGAATTTGCAGTTAAGTCCTCAGACACTGCACTGAATGCCTCGATTTCCAGACTTAATGTGTCTTAGTAAAGCCATACAAATGAGAAAGAACCATAAAAGTTATGGCCTAACTACACTTTACTGTCTATTCCTGATTATTTAGGAGCTGAGTTATCTTCATATTGCCTCAGCATGAATATACCCATTTCCCTCTCTCCTAGCACATGACAAAGAATAAAGCATGTTTCATAACTGGCTAAGATATCAGTGAAGCTCTGGGGTTTGGTAGGTGTATCAGTGTAGAAAAGTTATGTCTGGATAATTGCAAATTGGGCATCACTTTTGTTAGTGCTTGTTAAAATAACAATCAGGGGACAGTGGAGCTGCTCTGCTAACTCCTTTCTCTGCATTAAATACTGTTGGTGTTTGTACCATGCCAAGTCCTGTGTCCTAGCCCAATTATTCCTTCCACAGTGTCTCTCCTGGAATGCAGGATTTATTAGTACTCAATGCAGCTCATTCTACAAAGGGTTTATCTGCTTATTATGGAAAAAAAAAAAGTGGCTGGAAAAAAACAAACACTATAAATCTTGAACTAAGGCAGTCAGTCACTGTCTGAGTTCCACTGTAAAGCTCTTGGTTGTTTTCACACCCTCCTCCTGTTTTAATTAGATGTTGATCTATTGTCAGCTAACTTGCATCACCTCCAAACTGCTGGAAATTCCAAACATAAATAAAAGCAATTCAGCACAAACTAAAAATCAATCATACCCCATGGGTTAATGATGAAATGAATTTTCCAGATTTCTGTGCACTGCTCACAATCTATGACCAAATACTTCTTGCTTACTTAGGCTGTAGAAAGGTGACAGACAGGACAAAGTACAAAGAACTGGCACAGGACCAGCATGACTCCACATTCAGGAAGATCATCTAAATCTAAGCTATTTTAAAATAACAGGTAGTTGGTGCATTTTTAGCAGGTCTCCTAAACACAGAGTCTATGGCTACACAGAAATAGATGTCAAGTTGTACCATGTTTTCTATGTCCAGCCTCACAAAGGATTTCAATGCACTAATCAGTGAATGCTCCTCTCCACAAAACATGTCTCCAACTCAAAAGCCAGCACAGACCATTTTCACTGCTCCTCCATCAGGGCCATGCAGAGGTGTCACTTACCTGCCACAACTCCTGCAACGTACACAAAACTGATCCTCGCAGCTCCGTGCACCATTTCCAGAGGAACCCCAACCAAGAGCTGAAGAACAACATTGAGCCCAAGGTGTTCTATCCTGCAGCAAGGAAAAACAACAGTTGTCCTCTTTTCCAACTCTTCATCTTCTTTCTCTACCACTGAGACACAGATACCTTAGAAAGAAAATCAAATAGCACCCAATTCACATAAGTAGACTAACACTGGGACAAACAGTGATTCCAGAAAAAATCAGACCCAAAGTTGCAATGTTTCTTCCCTCCTTGCTGCTTTTTTGTATCCACCCAGGTTCTTTCAGCCAAAGACCTCGTACAATGTTTGGTTCTTAGTCGAACATTTTTTTTCTTTTCTCTTTGCTTGAGGAAGTTAAATGACGTCAAAAAAAAAACCCAAAAAAACACATTAAGATGGCAGCAGAGCCTGGAACAGAAGTGAGAAATTTGATCTTCTCCTCTCTTCCCTCCTGATGATTCCTGTTTTCCCTGCACACATCACATTGCCCTGATGGGCAGTGGTTGTTAGGAATGAGGTGTGTGTAGAAGCCCTAAGAGAGCTGCCATTTCCTGGTGCTGTAATGCTGCTTTACAGTATGGGCTGTCTGACCCTCACCCTTTTCTGCTGTGCCTACTTCAGTGGTCAGAATGGGAAGCAGAGGGCATTTTGATCTCCGTTCAGATGCCCAGGTTTACTCACTGATGCTCTCTTCACCCACCCTGGTTCCCATTACAGTTGATAGTAAAACTCCCATTGAACACACAGAAAAAGGCTGGGCTGAGAGAACTCTTGCAGAAAGCCCCACTATCACACTGTGCAGGACCACTTGCAGCCTGCAGGCAGAGTGTGACAGCTCAGATGTGCATATTGGGTAAAGACTCCAGTGCAGCAGATTTCCCCTGAGCTGAATCAATAGCTTCAAAGCAAGTTCTCTGTTGCTTTAATCAATACTACTTAACAAACCTGTCCTGACACTTTTCAAAGCTCTATACAGATCTGTAGGATCTTCCAGTGAGGTAATAACAGCACCAGGCCCTGAATGCGGTCCTCAGCACTCTGCTGGTGTCTGAGATTTACCCTGGGCTCACAAGACCGTGACCTCACTGAATGGTGACATCCCACTGGAACCTTTCTGTATGAAGAGAACCTGCTTAGGAAAACGATGGATCTAAATGACCCAGTGGCACCCTTAACACAGAAGGCCAGCATCTTTTAGGGAAAAGAGAGCAAAGTACCTAATACCTTGAAAACACACATCCCATTTTATACAGGAAAAGGGTTGCTCACAGGCAGGCACTAGCAAACTTTGGTTTACGTTATATGTTTTGATCTTTTTTGCGTTACCATAGCAATTTCCCATATACAGCAGAGGAAAACACTGGTGGTGAGATGCAGTAATGACAGAACAGTCTCATAAATGAGAATTTAAAGTTGGACTGCAAAGAAGTGTTAGAAATGATACTGCAAAAAACAGTCCTCTCCTGATATCTTAATAAGTTTGCTTCCATATAATTTCTCTCCAAAGATGAATTTCCCTCCTGCACAATACACTCAGCAATTTTTTATCACGGGAAACTGCTGCATGCAATTGAGTTCTTTTATTACCTTCCTCAAGCCCTTTGAAGCCACTGGGCATGGTCAGCAGTTGCCCTGATCCCACATGCTCACAGAATGCACGGAATTAAATTAGGAACAACCAGCAAAGGTCAAACTGAGATCACTGAGATGAGTCAAAACATCCAAGTGCCCTTTCACAGAGAGGAGGGAAGAAGCTTTGGCTGGCACAGAGTCAACATCATGAGATGGCACCTGACATTTTCACACAAAGCACTGGCTCTTATTTTTCAAAGGAAGCTTTTGTAAGAGCTCAGCAAAGTTTATCCTGGACTCTGAAGTGACTGCTCTGATTCACAGCTGTTCTTAAAAGACTTCCCAGGAGCAATCCCATTCACTTCTCTTCCCCATCATTCTAAGAGCTTTGAAGGCACCAGAGTCAATAAGAACCCATAAAATATAATTACCCTTTGCCAGTGCTGAATGTGTCATTCTTAAAATGACAATTTCATTGATTTATTAAGGACTTTCTCCTTCCCTGGGATCAAATAAATGGGACTAAGCATCAATGCAAGTCATTAGTTATGGCAGTGATACAAATGTGTGGGCTTCAGATATCAATGTCTGCTTTCCATGAAAACAGAAGGGCAGAATTTACAACTTTGCCTTTTCAACCCTTGACAAAACTCCCTCCATCAGAACCAACACACAATTCCGTACATTTTTGGAATCTTTCTAGAGGCACCGTCAGCCAAGGCTTAGCAACTGCTGCCTTCTCAAACACCTTCTGGCTGCCACTTGCTCTTCAAAAAAAGACTGCACTAAAAAAGAGTGCACTAAATTAAGGAGCAGTCCACATTACCATTTAAAAGTCTCAGCTGGAAGCAGGATAACAATAGACTCATGGTATTGTGTTATCCTCACATTTTCAAATGAGAGGAGAATGATGGGCATCCATTAAAAAACATTATTACCTTTCCAAGATTTATCTGTTTTCTTCACGAGAAAGGAGCTTAACACAGAGAAGTTAGAAATAAAAGAACATTTAGTGTAACTCCAGATACTGCAGATAAATCACAAGGTTTATTGCTCCAGTGGGACTCTCCAATGTTTTAAAGGCTGTGTAGCTAAAGGACTTGGAATCCATTATGATGAGTCCCCTGCTCACCGCCTTCCATTGTTCCACTCTGAGCCAGCCAGAGATGAAATAAACCTGAGGGATTTTTTTGGCCAGTGAGTGTGAAGAATGCCAGAGAACTGCCTGCTACAAGGGTGACCTGGCACAGGTTAGGAAAGTATGCCACAGAAAGGCATTTAATGCTGGGAAAGCTGTCCTTGTGCACATCTTTCTCCTCCAATGGATCCAAAAGCCATCTGTAGTCATAGAAGTGATGGTAAAACATCATCACCATCAAAGGAAAGCCCAAATACAAATTAAATAACATTAGTTAAAATTGTTTCTTTCTTTCACAAGCCCAGTTTTCCCCCTATTTTCAGTGACAGAAATTTCCACTTCTCATTTTATGTAACCAGCCTCATATGTAAGCAGTCCCCACTCGCAGGATGAAATCAATGTAATATGGGCTCTTTGGAGGTATTCAACAGGCAGAGGACAGATTTTGCCACATTCAGAAGTTTATCCTAAAAACTTTTCCCTACTCTTTCCTTGGGAAGAATCTGTTTTTATCCATGGATCTGGGGCACATCTTGTGCTCCAGGGTAATCACACACCTAGGAAGTTATTCCATGGCAGGGAAGAGACAGCAGCATGTCTTCCATCAGAGACATGGAAAAAGGCAAAGATCAACTTGATCTTTCTGGCCTTTCATAGAAGAACATTGACTGATGAAAATATAGGCTTTCTATTTAAGAACAAAGGGTCCTTTTGCAGTTTTAAACTCTGCACTGCTGCTAAAAGGCTTGTTGCTGTCATTTTTCAATGACAGAACTAAAGAAAATTGCAATTATCTGCCAGGAATGTGTGAAGATAATGATCTGAGAAACTGCTCAGAGGGGGTAGAATGTTTTGTACAGGGATGAACCTTCCAGTGAAACTTACTCATCACCATGGCATCACAAACATCACACAATTAAATCTATTTGAATTTTGTGAGGACTGGCACAGCTGAGAAGAACAGAGGTAGAATCCCCACATCTTGTATATTCTTCCCAAGTTGCTAAATACCTCCCATGGGATGAAAAAGGATTAATTTTACTGTGCACCTTCATTTTGCATGAGGTGGACCAGCCTCTGTCTATCTGGTCACTTGAGATTGTCAACTCTTCAGGAACACTGGTGTTCGCCCAGTGTGTACAAAATGGGAGTTCAGGCTTGATACAACCTTCTAGGCATTATCTTAGTTCCTACAGAAGGGAACATTCCCTACAGAACATTACTGAGTGATGACATGTTCCAGGCACAGGGAATTTAACTGATTTTTCCAACACCCTGTAGTTTTTAAACACCAGTCCAGCATCTTTGCAGACTTGTTCTACCACCTGCACAGCTCCTTTACTGGAACACTGGGCTTTGACCTGGTTTTAGGAAGTACACAGTAAGAAGAAAGTGTGGTCCCAGCACTGCTGGGGAGAAGAGCAGCATCTGTTAAATTCCTTTTGTTGCCTTGACCCTTCAGAGAGCTGTAAAAGTTTGCACCTCATTGCCCAACACTCCATAACATCTTCAGATTTTTACACACAATTTATAACTGAGTTTTAAAAATTTAATTCTGAGCTGATTCTATCACTTCCTCATTCTCTCTGGGGAGCCTGAACTGTTTGTAAATACTCACCCTGCATGCATGAATATGTAGGTTAGATACCTCCAAGCCTGGGCCCGAAGCTGGGGATGGTACAGCAATGCATTCTTCAGGTACAAGGGGTGGCTGACTTGCAGCACAAATCTGTCTAAGACCACTCCATTGTAAAGAAAAAAGGCAACCTAGAAGAGCAGAGATATTAATTGGTTAGAAAATGCCTTTTCTCACCAAAAAGTACTTTTTAGCTCAAAATAGCAGAGAAAAAAAGTAATATATACAAAAACTTTTCTCCCATTTGATAGCTTCACACAGCATGAAAATTCCATTTTGAGGAACCTACAACACATTGATACAACTGTATTTGTGGTCTTCTGTAACACACCAGCCCCTGAGACAGAGGAACCTGCCCCCAGACAGCACCCTACTATCAGAGTCATATCCTACTCTGTACTTGCTTGAGCACATTGCTCAGCAAATGTACAAAGATCTCATTTGGACAACACATGGGCAGGTCAGAGTATTTAACCAAGAGGTCCTCTCCCCTCCTTTTTCTCTCTCCTCACAGAACAGAGGTAGCTGTATAGAAATTTTTAATTCCATTGACTTATCCATTTCTCTAGAGCTGTCCTGTTTTCACTCCCTAAACAGTTTTGCTCTAGTCTCCCAAACTGGGTAGTCCCATATACAAATTCTTCCAGTGAGAGGATCACAGTCTCCACTTAAACACACCCCAACAGGCAACCAAAAATGGCCACCAGCTTCACATCTGCCCTTGTCCAGGTCTGAACTAGTCCCTCTCTAACCCTTGATTGTGTCCCAGCAGCGCCTTTGGCGGTGTGGGGAGGTTCCCAGGGAGGGTACTCGCCTCTACAATAGTGATGGTGATCATGAACCAGGGCGGGGGGCAGCAGGTGTAGCTGTCGTAGTACCACTTGCGGTCGATCTCCCGCGGCAGGGTCTCATACGCCACGTGCCGGATCAGCCTCTGTGAGAGGCTCAGCCCCGTCTCCTCCAGCAGGGCCTTGCTGCACAGCCTCCTGTTCCCCTGCAGGATGGCTTGGCGGAAACTGTTGGACCTTTTGTTGCTCATCTGGGTAAAAGGGAACGTAAGAGCCTATGAGTACAAAGCAAAGCCTGGCACAATCATCAGGGAGAATAGTGCCAGTTTGGCAGCACCAGATCCAGGAAGGCAGGAAAGCCACCACCAGGCTGAGCTTTAGGAAGTAAGTTTTGGGACAATGACAGTGACTTACTTGGGGTTTTAAGGAAAACCAGTACCACTATCTGCCATTATGATGCCAATACATGAGGTCAGGATAGAACTCTGGCAAGGCAGAGCAGAGGCTGCTGATGCACCTGGCTGAGCTCTATGGCCCATTCTCCAGCCTTCCATGCACTGTCTTCACCATCAGTTATCACCATCCATATTTCTGTGTCCCTCTTCCTTCTGCTCCCTCTGCTCTATCACTGCCCTGCAGTCTTGGGGCAGAAAATTTCTCATATGTAGCAGCAGGTACTTTCATGGCATATCTAACTCTTGTGGCAGGAGTTAGCTCTGGGGAAAGAAAATTATCTCTTTGTGTAAAACAAAACTGCCTGAACAACAGCAACAAACAACAAATTAATCGGCTGTACAGGCTGTCTTAGCTCCCATAAGCTTGCAAGTCTTTACAAGGCTTCTTTCATAAGTTATCCTCAGAGGGGGCAGGTTCTGAGGTGGCACAGGCACAGCTAATTTGTATATGTATTATCACCTTACCTGCATAGATTTAGCTGTCTATCTTTTTAAGCATACACTTTCCCAGTTTGGATGCATAATTAAAGCAATTGCATTTGCAAATTAGGCAGATGGAATCTTCTGCTTATCCTGCTGGGGGCGGGGGAACAAACCAGTGTGCTTGCTTGCCTGAAAGAGCTTGCTCCAAGATTTGTGTAATTGTTAATTAGCCCTGATGTCAAACAAACCTGCTGCATTAGAGCCACTGTCTGTACAGGCTGAATCTTTGGCAGGGAGCTCCAAAGGCTCACTGTGTACACAGGCTGCTGCAGGGGGACTTTCTACTGTAACAGGCAGCAAAGCAAACACAACAGCCTGGTCCTTCTTCTGATAAAACTGCCAACTGCTCTCAAACCACCAGCACCTCCAGCCTCCCAGAGCAAAGCAAGAGATGACACTCAACAGCACTGGCTTCCAGTTGTCTTGGATCATGCTGGTTTCAGCTGATATCCCAAAGCCAGCAAAGCCCAGAGCTTGTGCTTTCAGTGCCCAGGGAGTCAGGGAATTGCTCCAAGCTGGACCAAGCTGCTTAAACACAGTAATCACTGCAGGGAGTCACCTCTTGTTAATCACTGGAGGAAGGCAAGGGGCCATCTGAGGTGATGGCACTGCTACCCACTCTGCCCATCCCTCCTTAGCTGTTGTTTGTAGCCTGCACCTCCAACACAGACAAGCACTGACCGTCAGTTGATGTTCTTATATTTTTTTAACCTGGGGAAAAATTTATTGTTATTGTTCTCTTTGAGCTGTTTCGGTGAGATGTTTTTCCCTAACAACTCTCTCCATTTTCATATTTCTCCTTTGCTCTCTCTTTCCTTTGCTCATTCAGAAAACACTTGTAAAAGAACATTTTTTGGAAAAAAGCACATTAAAACAGAGAAGAAAAAAAATGTCCACAAGGTCTCTATCAGTCTTCTTAAGTGTATCATCCAAAAACCTGTATCTAAAACTAAGGAAGACGACAAGGAAAAAACTGTTATGGTCTTCTGTTGCATTAAGAAAGCCTGTTCATACTGAAATAGAATATTTTCATATAGAAACATCCAACAGGTACAAGGCTTAGCATGTGAGATGCCTTTTGGTAGGCAAGAACTGTACCTCTGTTTCAAAGATACTTCTAGCCACCTAATGACCTCACTGTGTCCAAAGAAGAAAGCTTCACTCCAGGATAGTTCAGAACAGCCTTTCAGAGATGCTCTGCATGTGCTCCCTCAAAAAGTTCATTCTTTTCTCTCAGGCTTTGCTCCTCTTATGGGGAAGAATAAATTCAGACTGAAACTATAAACTTGCCTGAAGACACCAGACAGTTGACTGGAGCTGCTGATCTACTTATTCCAATTACAGTGATAAATGGGATTTCCTGCATACCACAAAACAGTGCTGCAGCACTTCAGTGGAAAATATAATCATTTCCAGAGTCAAGGAAAATCATCATTTCAGTTCAGTATCAAGAAGTGCTGGCCACCCTCAGCAGATGATCACCTCATCAGTGCAGAGACTGCCGAGGGAGAAATGACAAAGGCTGCTGATGTCCATGGTTAGGCTCAAAGATTTCTTTGCATCTGTTGAGCAGAGGATCCTGACAGAGGCACCCCTGAACTCATCTGTTACTGTAGAGTATGACACAAGGAACTGACTCAGTTCAATCACCTGAACTCAGCACAGCCCCATCAGTCCAGCATCCTCTCTACAATAACGCTTGTGCTGCCCATGGAGCCCAGAAAACAGCCACGGCACTGAAAATTCATCACCATGACATTTGGGAAGGTGTTCTTCAACATATTAACAATAAAAAAGAAGGGAAAGGTCTTCTGAGATTTAAGAACAAAATATTGCAGGATCACTGTAAGTCGTACCTCAGATGACCAAAGCCTCCACTGGCTCTCCTGAGGAGGTGGAAAACTGGACTACTGTTCAACAGAAAGCTCTGCCTTCCTCCTTCCAGAGAGGAAAATAAATCACAGGACCTTTGACACCCCACACAGAAGCTAACATGGAAGAGACATGGAAATATTTGCCAGATCTTCTTTAGAACAAAGAACATGGAAAGAAGATCCAGATTCCCTCTACATGCTGCAGTCTTGGCGTGGTTTTTACACCCCGATGAGGCAGGAACATAGTGTCAGAAGTGTGTCAGATGTGCTGAAAAGCCCCCACAATCCCACAAGTTGTGGATTAGTGGATGTACTGAGCCCTTGTTAACATCAGGCCTCTCAGGAAGGAGACATCCTGCTGGTCCCCATCTGCACGCATTGCCTGTGGCACCAAGCAGGAGATGATCTCCAAAGAGTCAGCACAGCTGACTGCCAGGGCTCCAGCAAACACAGCAGTCCTGGCCCTACTTACATGACCCCAGAGGCCTTTGGATCAAGCAGAGATAGGCATGAGGAGAGACAGAGGATTAAGTCGCTATTGCTGTTCCCACCAATTTTGATGAGAAATCTGTTTTGCTCTTCAGACTGACTTTGGAAGACTCAAATCTTCCCAAACAGAGTCTCGCATATGGTCACAATTTGCTGACTTGATTTTGGAATTACATAATATTGGCATTTATGAGCCAAGTATTTAATCATCAGCTGAATGAACACTAGGCCATTGTTGGCCTGCACATTATCATGGCTCCAGGAGCCCAGCGCAGCCCATCCCACTGCTTTTAATGCAATCAATCTAGGACTTCTTTAATGAGCATGATATTAAAGCTGCAAGCAGATGGGTACAGCAAACAGTATGTGGAGAGAGAAGGTAGCAGTGGGGAACAACACATTCCCTTCATCCTTCCTGCCTGCAAAATGGTATTATGCAGAGAGAAATAAATTTCCCTTGAAGAAGAGCCAAGCTGAGCTTGACTGGTACCCAGGTGCTGCCACCTCTGCCCTTTGGTATAACCCTACCAAAACAAACCAAGGCTTAGTGCTACACCTCTGCTCAAGGGCTGGTTTTGAAACCTCTGTGCAAAAGGACATTTTTTCCTTGAATCTGAACCTGTCTTCAACACTGAAAATGTCAACATTCAGGATGAGTCCTTACTGTCAAGAGTAGCATAATAGTGACAAACTTTGATGAAGTACAAAGCCCTGCTTTTCTTTACCCCACATGGCACTTTAAAATTACTCTGGGATAACCTGCAACTTGCAAAGGAAGTTGTCCATTCCCACTGGCACACCATTTTCTCTGTGTTCCTTGGATATCTGTAGTACTGTGGCTACCTCAGATAACCAATAGCCAAGGCATGTAGTATTTCCCCCATCTCCAAATTCAGGGCTTGTGTGGGGCACAGTACCCTTATTATGGTTTTACTCAGCCTCACTCAGAAGATTTTGAAAAAACATGGATTTCTGGCCATTACACATTGGCATCTTCGAGACTGGTCCCAAGCTATTTTTAAACACATGCAGCTCTGTGACAGGCAATGCATTCAGCTCTCCAGCTCTGATCCTTCAAGACACAGAACACTAAATCTGAAGTTAACACAAGCTTTTTAAAAGCCTCTGCCAGCTCCAGTTTTATAACCCACTTTACTTACAAATGCAACCTCTCCAATCAATTTTGCTTTCAAGATTCACATTTATTTCCTTCCCTCTGCCCACACTTCTACGAAATGCTAATGTGGGTAGAGACAGCTTTTCCCAAAATGCATATCTCAGCATTAAGTTCATCTGTCACAGATGTTCACATCCTCTGAGCCAACCTGGTAGCACTTTCCCAAACAGTATCAAAGGGAAAAAAACCTGAATACCAAATACCAACATTCTGATCTGGTTTGACCAAGCAGTGGTTTACTCTAGGGATTCAAAGAAAGAGACAGGAGAGAAAAAAAAAATATTCCTGCTCAAGGTTTTGCTCAATTCCTATTAAATGTACCAGGCTTAGGCCTTCCAGCACTTCCAAAAGGTAAAACATTTGAAATTTCAAGTTTACTTGAAAGAACATTGCTTGCAGGACAAGACTAACATTGTGGTTAAAATAACATTGTTACACAGTGCTTCAAAATTGTGTGTTGTTCACATTAAAAATGAGGTAGAATTAGCCTGTCCCTAGAAGCCAGCAAGGCCAGGGAAAGCAAAGAAAGTGGTGATTCTTCATCTGGAAAATAAAAGATGTGCATTTAATTAGTTAATATATTTTGTTCATTGCTGAGATGCTACATCAGCTTCAAGCTGCTACAAAGCCACAGCTAAACATTTCTGTTGGAAGCAGCAGTGTTTTGTTTTTCCCAAATCACATGAACTCTGTCTTAGAGCTTACTACTTTCTGCAAGCTCTATTACAGTCTACAGGATATTATATGAAGTAATCCAGGACTGCCAACATCAACTGCTGTTCAGCAAGAATCCCAGAAAATGACATCTCAAATATAATTACCTCCTGGCTTGTCTCTTCTCTAAAAGTAGCAAAGTTAGTTAAACACCTTTGCTCATTATCTCTTCCTGTGGCCCATGCTACTCATAGCCAGTATTTTCTCTGTGCATCTCTTTCCACAATGCTGCAAAGCAACCAGACAGCAGAGATGCACGAGATGTCTTCAACTGTACAGGAAACACTTCTGTTACTCTGCACTGTCTCAGACACAGCATAAGAAACCCCCATCTGAAACTGCTTTCTGCCTTTACTACAAACCACAGTGCAGAAACAGAAATGGCTATGATTGCAGCATTGTGTTTTATAACTACATGAGCTGCATTTAATACACACAGAGGAGAAGTACTTTACAATGAGTTGCCTATCTGATCTTTTTGAGCCTTTTCTGTTTGTAGATCACACCAGCAGTTTTCATCTTCCCCGAATTTATTAATTTCTCAATTTATTTCCTGAGTGCTTTCTGAGGTCTAGTTCATATTTTAAAACTTTCAATTTCATAAATCTAAGTTGCTTTGCTGAGTTGAGAGCAGACATAAGTATGGATGTTATTATTAAGGTGAGAAGTCCTGTAATTACATTTTTGATGTATCTAGAAATCCAAAAAACAGATTAGATATCAGAGGACAACATATCTTTGCTCAATAGCAGTCCTTTAGCTGGACATCGCAGTGTCTGAGAGAGCAGGCAGAGTTCTTGGTGCTCGTAATGATGCTGGAGAAAAGGGAAATCATACATACAGAGAACCATGCTTGTAAAGCCCCTGGTTTAGTAAAAGGTCAGCCTGTACATCCCCACACCCAGCACCATCATTTTTGGCAGCAGGTCAGTTCTTGCTAAGCTACTGAAACAGACAAATTAACCTGAGTATAAAGCAGAGAGGGCTAATGATCATCAAGCACAAACATGCACTTAAACACCGCCATACCGAGGATTGACAGCTAGGAGGTGAAGGAAATCCCTTATTTCACAGTGATTTTGTATCAACTGTGTTTCTTTCCATCAGGAAGTTCAAAATAAAGTTCAGAAGGTAGGGAAAAGAGGAGGAGCCCTAAGAAAGGTTTGGATGCTGTCTATCAATAGAAGCTAGAGGAAAAGTGAGGAGAGATGTCATTTGTAAGTAGTTTAATGTTTTGGCACTTGCATTGCCTATTGATTAGAAAATGCAAAAAATGCAGACAAGGATAGAGGGGCTGATGACAGGAAAATCAATGGCTTCTTTATAGGAGTCATTCAATAGTACTGAAGGAAATTAGCCGTTTTGCAGAAACCACATCAGCTGGGTGTGAGCTGGCACAGCCTCCTATTCCCAAAGGTGAATGTCCAAGCATTTCACCTCCCACCTACCTCTCATTAGCTTGTGCTGCTCCTGAGCCCTGTGGAGCAAGGAGAGAGGAAAAAGCCCAGTTCTATTCCTGAGCCTGTTGCCAATGTGTTGGCTGGCTCTAGGCCATCATTTCTGCAAAAGAAATTTGATGATGCCTCTTCCTGCTACCTAAGTGTTGTGCAGCCCAATTAGTGAATGCTTGCATGGTACTTTGAATGTCCCCAACTGTGGAACAAGCAGCTGTTACTATAAATACTCTGCTGAGCACTGAAGACCACACTGTTTGTTATGCTGGAGCTGAGGAAAACCTCACACTGTGTGAGCTTTTTAAGAATTGCTGCATTTATTTTGCTGTGTACCTAGACACAGGCAAGGGGCTTACAAGACAGCCCAGTTAGATACAGCAGGTTTATGTCATTCCAACAAAGTAACTTCACCTTGACACTGCCCACAGCCTGATGGAGGTCATGACCTAGGTCCTTGACAGCTAGGCCGTGTTATACTTTTCTAATTAATGTAAAAATAGGACATATGCAAGACATTTTCTTTCTAAACCAAGAACACATGCATGAGTGACCATGACAAATGAAGGGATCAAATCCCCACGTTGTCTGAAGAGCGCACTGCAAATTACTGTACTCTGCATCAAGGAGACATCCAGCTTCCCAGAGAAACCTCAGAGATGTCACCAACTTCCATTCCTCTTTGACTTTGTCACCCAGGCTTATATTAACATTGCACTAAATCTGCTGGGATTCAGATGTTCAATGACAGAGGAAGAACAAGGCAAAGCCCCTGAATGGCCAGTGTCCAAGATACCTTGCAAACAACATTTCTAAGCCATCCTGGGCACCTGACAACACATGTCTACAATTGTGTTGACTCAACAAACTGCCTTGACAAGAAACAGAGCAATCCCTTCACTAATTGACTCATTAGTAGAGATAGAAAGGCATCAAGATCATGACTCATGCACTCTGAGACACCTCACTTGGGATAAAATGAACGTGACCTAGAAACACTTTATCCTTGTTGCTGTTGATGCCTACAGCAGTGCAATACAACTCCACCTAGCACGTCAACACATTATCTATGTATTTTTGTCTGGAAGTGGTGAAATCTCTAGATAAAACAGGAGACATCCAGACTGACAGACCTCTGCTTGCAAACAAGTGGTTCATTACAGCAGCTAGCAACTGATACTGAGAGCAAAAACCTCAAAACTAGCAGCAGCCACTGCTTCATGATCTTACTACAGCTCCCACAGTTCTTTCCCATGCAAATTTGTTTCCCTGGAAAAATCAGAAGCAATTTGACTCCTGCTGAAGCATTCAGTCACCACTGAATGCTTCAGCAAGTCCATGCAGAACGTGATGCAGCAAACACTGGTGTTAATAAAGGGAGGGAAAGACACAGACACTGTCCCTCAACAGCCCATGTTTTAAGCAGGGCCAAGGACTGACAGACCCTGCCAGCTAGAGCACTCACCAGGTTGACGAAGTCCTGGTAGCAGATCCTCCCCTCAGAGTTGCTGTCTGCCAGGGCTAGCAGGACCTCCAGCTTGTGGGGGTCCAGCTCCGAGCCGTGTCTCTGGAGAAGGGAGCGAAACTTCTCAGTGCTGATGTAGCCAGTGTTGTCAGGATCAAACTGGGACAGGAGGGGAGAGTGCCATAATTAACAATCCCATGTTACACACAACTCTGTCCTCCTATGCATTTATCACCCACTGCAGACCCACAGGGACCCAGGGGCTGTTCTAGGCTTTGGTGACACTGCCCTGCAATCACACAGGGACTAGAAAGTACCCTGCTGCAGAGAGGGGTGAGTCCAGGCACCACCATCCCATCTCCACCCAAGCTTCAGCTACGTCAGCTCCCTTCCCCTTTCTTCCCTCTGCATCATCATTTCTCTTGTCTAATTTTTATGTCTCTTTCTATCTGGAACATCAAGCAAACCAGAGATGCAGTTTGTGAGATAAAATGCACTGAAAAGAGTTTTACTCCTCAGTTTCCTAATACAATTCCACCTAACACAATATGCTATCCCTCCTCAAGCCCTTTCCATGCTCAGTGTTTCTGACAGTCACCTTTCCAGATCATCTCTACAGATGCCTTCACTCTGTTAAATACTTTCACTACTGAAGAGCTATTTTAAGACAGTTGGGAAAGAAAATCTTTGGACAGGGAGCAAAGCAGATGAACACCATGTCAAACTAGAACTGACAAGGCAGCCACATGCCATTTCGAGAATATAAACCAGAGTCATTAGAAGGAAAGTCCCAGGTGAGATCTGGAGTGAATCCCACTCTGACCAAAACCATCACTGTTTTCCCTGAGCCTAAGTGGCTAATCTAGAAATGCCACTGATTAAAAGAGACATCTTTACAAGGCTGTCCAAACTTATGACTGTTCCAGTGGCCTCTAGGGCACTCTGTGAGGGGCTGCCAGCTCACAGGGCACAGCCTCAGCCCTGACAAAGCCAGTGCTGGCACCATGCCGAGCATGTTTCTGATGTGCTTGAAAAACTAGTGGCTGCAAGCTGCCAGACCAGCCTGCACTAGCCCTGGTGCAGTCTGATCTCTACCAGTTCTCTGTTGCTGGGAGATTTTGCCTTTGATTTCCCAAACTTGGCTGTGAGGACCCTGGTGCTCACTGGCCTCTTTTTGTAGATAATGATATCAAGCTTGTTGGCTGGATTGAATGGCTGTCAGGGGGCAGGGTGGTCAGGAGGGAGTCTTTTCATGGAAACATTTGGGACATAATAGGGTCTTGGCAGAGCCATAAAGGTCCTGACAATCCTCAGTCTTTCCTAATGGAGAACAAAAGTTGAACAGGCGCCGGGCCTCCGATCAGACACAGTGGAGTACAGGCTGCCTTGGCAAGGGAGGAGGTGGGAAGGAGGATGTGGCAGAGGATGCAGCCTGCCAGCAACAGGGCTGGCATGGCTCTGCAGCAAGCAGAACAGCTATAAAACACACCAGCCTCAGGCATGGGCTGCTTGCTTAGAGGCTGCAGTCCCCATGTGTGAGGATCTGGCTCTATCTCCTTCTGGTCTGAGCACCTTTGTCCTGCTGCTCGGCTCTCCCCAGCTGCTGGGCTGAGAAAGAGCTGTCTAACCTGAGGAGGGGAGGCCACAGCTCCTTTGCTGGAGTAGGGCTGTCTGCCTTTGGTCAAAGCAGCAGCTCCTCGTTAAAGGAGCTGCTGGGGGGCAAGTGGATTCACAAAACAAGATAAACCAAGTGACCTGTGGACAGTAAGAGCTGGGGCACTCTCTCCTGTTCTCTGCCAAAGGTTGTCCTGCCCTTGTGAGGTGGCCTGGATGTACCTCCCTGACAGATGGCTCCCAGAGCCAAAGGTAGATTTCATCAGCTGTTTACTGTTAAACAAAGGCTTAATATTAATCCCTGGAGAAGTTAACTCACCTACTCCAGCTCACTCTGATGCTTTGAGTTAACAGATTAAACAGCAAAACCAACCTCAAAAGTCAGGGCTTCTGCACTCAGGCTCAGCTCTGATGAGTTTTGGCTCTTGCTGTGACTCTCAGGCCAGCCTATTTGTGGTGCCCAATCCCAGACACACATACCCAGGAAATAAAGTATTATTAGCACAATACCTGGGATGACCTTTCTCAAGGGGAATTTGTAGGACCTGGGAGATGAGTCATTCAGTGAATGGATCTAAGACCTGCAACCCCATAGACACTGCTTTGTTCATCCCTGTTTCCCAAAAACATTTGACCTGACCAGCATCTTACTTAACTGCACCACTTCAACTGATCCTGATATTTAAAATGTCAGATATTTAAAATGTCTAGTTTGTCTAGGACAAAACCATTTGCTCCTTGAAGGCTTAAGTACCTCTCTACTTTGAGGGCCAGGGTCAGCACCCAAAGTGTGGGACTCTCCCCCTGCCATATGATTATTGACTTTGTAGGAAAGACCAAGGGCTGCAGCCCCAGGGAACATAGCTATTCCTTCAAAGGGCAGAAGAGATACAGAGATGAAGCACACAAGCCCCCAGAGAACAAAAGAGCTGCTGAGATCACAAACCACTTTTCCCAGACTTTGTTCTGCTTTAAAGTCTTCCAAAAAGAAGCATTTTGTAACCAAGAACAGAAATTACACAACCACTTCAGAGCTTCAAACCAGCCCACAAGGAAACATTTCAGAAGTCTGAAATCACTTCAGACTCACTAGTGCTGGAGCTGATACATCCTGTCACTCAGGATGTTGCTGTTACTGGCTGCTGGCTTCCAAAGGCACAGCTGAAGCTGTATCTGTCTGGTGGCTATCAGGGAATCTGCTTCTTTCTCACACCAATAGGCACAGCATTCCCTCTTCAGCTCACTGGAGTCTTGCTGCTTGCTCCACAAAAATCAAAGCAGTGGCAGAAGGTAGCTGGTGTTTCCTATAGTGTAATTTGGCTATCAAGTCTCTTCTCCTCTTCCATGTTATTATATATAATTATATTTTGGCACTATGTTAATGATAATAATTAGGAAAAAGTTTGAAGTAAAACAGTGGATCTGAACAACATGAGCGTAAGAGACAAACAATGAACAACTAACATCTGAACTCAAATACTTCAGAGCAGGGCCAGAGCACAGGTTCCACAACCTGGAGCAGAATGTTTTACTGCCAGCCCCAGCTGTAAGGAAGTCATCTTATTTATGTTTAAACAGTTATTTTAATTGTATAACATTTCTCTATAAAAAGCATACAAAAATCTCATCTGTCACCACTCAAAATCCACACCAATACCCCAAACTGCTTCAAACCCTTTTTCTGGTATCACAGCTATACACAAAAATCAAGGGGTTGAGCAAATCCTGCATATCCTGTGTCCCTACACAAATCACAGCAATCCTGTGTCCCTGTGCAAATCACAGCATCACAGAATGTGCCGAGTTAGAACAGACACATGAGGATCGAGTCCTCCATGCTCCATACAGCTCCTGGCCCAATGCAGGATAGCCCAAGAATCCCATCATGTGCCCAAGAGCATTGTCCAAATGTTTCTTGAACTCAAACAGGCCCAGTGCTGTGACAACAGCCCTAAGGAGCCTATTCCAGTGCACAACCACCCTTAGATATCCAACCTAAACCTCTCCCCAACTCAGCTCCAGCTGTTTCCTTGAGTTCTGTCACTGGTCATAAGAGCAAAGAGATGAAAACCTGCCCCTTCACCGCCTCTCATGAGGATGCTGAAGACCACAGTGAGATTTCTCCTCAGTCTCCTCCAGGCTGAACAAACCAAATGACCTCACATAGCTTCCCCTCAAGACTCTGCATCATCCTTGGACACTCTCTCACAGCTTCATGTCTTTTTCATAAGGTGACACCCAAAACCACACACAACACTCCAGGTGACACACCAGTGCAAAAACAGGTGACAGACTCAAAACACTCAGCTCCATCAATTATAAGAGGCAACTGACCTTTGCTAGCCGCTTCATGCATTTATCCATGACGATCTCCTTTGGGGCCAGCTGTCCCACAAGTCCAGCCGAGCATCAGGGTCTCACCCAAGGACAGGGAGGGCCTGGAGGCAGCAACAGGGCTGTGCTGAGCCTGGCTCCAGCCCCACGGGGAGCAAAGCTCCCGCAGCACAGGCACCACAGTGCCTTCCCTCAGTGCAGCTCCTTCTGCCTGTCCAGGGACAGGCAGACAAGTGATCAGGGATGAGGAAGCCGTTTGCCCCCCCTCGTCCCCCCAGATACTAACGGCAATTTCATGCAAGGTTTCCTCCGCATTTCAATGACAATCACCCTTAACTCCCTTGATCCTCAACCAGGCTCTTAAGCAAAAATGTAAATATGTTAATGACCGTAGCAGCCATCTGACCCAGGATCTTAATTCCCTGGCCCACAACAAGCTGCTTTTCTCCTGTTTCTTCCTTATATTAGAGGAGACACTCACAAATGAAAGGTCCCATAGCAAAACTACAAGACAAAAGTAAGATAAGGGGGCCTCACAAACTGTGATGAAAAGAGGAAATTCAGTTGAGGACAGAAAATAAAATCTCAAATTGTTTCTCTTCTTTAATTAAAGACACATCAGCCACGGTTGAGTGAGCAAGTAGGGTGGAGGCTGGTGCTGCAGACAGACAATGAGTATCTTGGGAAAACTCAGACATTTCACAGAGTGCAGCCAGCTGCTCCTCTCCCCATGGCAAACAGCCCTCAGGGGCATCAGAACAGCTGGAGACTCAGCAGCTGAACTGGGCACAACAGGAGGATCCTTGGCTGGCTTCAGGATTGCAGGAACAGTTTGCTACTACCCATAGTTTCCTCATTGAAGGGCTTTGTCTCAACATCACCAAAGCCACAGTTGTCTTTCCAATGGGCAAGGCTCCAAGCAACTTCATCTAATTTGGAAATTGGCCTTGAGTTGGACCAGTTCCTTAAAATCTGAATCATTCTTAGGTCTGGTTGTGTCTTCGCTTTTGGGAGAGACTGGCCTGGCAGTATCAGGCCTCCTGGCACTGACCCCAGCTCTGCTCCAGACTAGGAGATTCTGCAAAGAAGTTGCCCTGAGCTTTAGCTTCTCCTCCCTATTACATAGAAACGACAACTCCCAATTCATTTTCCACCAGAAAGGAGCTCTCAATAATTGGCCTGTTTCTTATTTACATGTAGGCCCTTTTCCA